GACACATTTTCATATTGTAACTTCCACACTATCATTGTCGCACTATCATTTGTCACCACCAGCCACTAGAATGCCGTTGCGGACTGTTGATGGTCGAGGGATCACACTGCCATATAACATTATCATCACTTTTCCATCACACTGGCAACATGTATTCTTACATCACACTATCATTATACTACTATTTCAGTCTTACAAGACTTAAGAATCCAATTTTGGTGTTTTTATGTTTTTTTTACTCCTATTCGGGGTGATTTCTTATATATTTAATTTGGTCTTACTCTAAGTGGACTGTGTCAAAACCCGATGGTAACTTGCAAGCTCATTAGCATGTCATCTCGCCCGGGCCGCGAGGAATATCTAATGGGTTGGAGCCGTGTTTAGCGTGGGTTAGTTGGGAAAAAGTTTATCTACTTTTCTAATTAGAGTTCTAGTAGGATTAAAAGGCTTAGGAGGCTATAAATAACCCTAACACTATGTTTGGTTCATGGAATTTGGAAGGAAAAAAAAAATAAAATGGTTTTCCATTAGTTTCCTCACCAAAATGGGAGGAATTTGGTTTTTCATCCTCTTAATACATTTTGTTTTCTCATTTTCTTTTCCTTTCTCTCTCAAATTCCTTGAACCAAACATAATGTAAGGGATTCAAAGAAGAAATTCTTTCATATCATCCTTGAGTTTAATATTCATGTCTCTTTATTTATTCTATATTCCATAATCTTAAGTGAAATTGTGAGATTAGTATTAGGTGTGATTAAAGTTCCATATATATATATATATATATATATATATATATATATATATATATATATATATATATATATATATATATATATATATATATATATATATATATATATATATATATATATATATATATATATATATATATATATATATATAAACACACATACACGGAGTATATTACAAGAAAGAATTGGAAGGTACTCACAATCAGGAGATGAACGATGCATAATCAAGGATGATCTTAAAGCACGCAATTAATTTGCAGACTTTACACTTAGCTTGAACAAGATTAAGGCTAAATGTGGATGTGAGTCTCCAACTATAAATATAGTATTTTCAATAAATATATGGTGCAAATTAAAATGAAGTGTATAGTTAGCTAGCAGAGTACAAACGATGAATTTCTGAACTCTAACTAACCCTTCCCCGAGGAGGCTAGAAAGAAATGAACTTTGGGAAGATAAAGATACTTACATTAAATGCAAAGAAAGGAATTCTGAGGAGCAAATATGATGTGAGTGAAAGAGAGAAAGAGTGAGAAAGAATTGCTTTTAAATGACTAAAAATAACTTTAAGAGCACGGTTCCATGGCCACTGGATTCCAGTGGCCACGAAAGCCACTGCCCCCTACGGAACTCCGTTCATAAAATTGATGATTCCTACCCTTTTGTAACCCCCCGGTAAACCCCCCGCCATGTCCCGACCCAAACTAATCACCTCACCTACGTCAATTGCACCTCGTAAGTATAATTGACTTTAAAGTCAAAACTTTGACTTTATACTTACGAGGTGCTATTCACGTAGGTGGGGTGATTAGTTTGGATCGGGACTTGGCGGTGGGTTTACTGGGAGGGTTAGAGGGGATAGGAATCATCAATTTTATGAACGGAGCTCCGTATGGGGGCAGTGGCTTCCGTGGCCATGGAACCGGGCTCTAATTTTAAATGTATTACGTAGTATTATTGAATTAGAGATCTAAAAATAAATGTGCGTTAGGTTAAAGTTGGAGTTTTTTGTGTCATTTATCTTCGAATTTTTCACATATTGTGAGGTTTTCCGTCGAATTTGAAAATTTTTATCAATGGTCTCTGAATATTTAAAAACGTTACATCATTATTTTTTCAGTGTCTAATTTGAGAGAGAGAATTAATCACACAGGACACACACTCGTCTTGGGCCACTATGATGAATTTATTAAAAGTCTTAATCTATCAAACGTGCAGTGAGTAATAGAGTTATTAGTGTTAAAAATTTCATCTCTAGATTATGATATAATACATCATATGATTTATTATAATTTCTTTATTTAATATTCTCTCCGCCAATGCCCAAAGTGTATTTGAAAAACATAATTTTTTTGCATAAAATAAAAAAGATGAATTTTAAGTTTCAATTAAATATAATCTACAATATATATGAGTATAAAATGGATTTCCTAAATTTATTTGGTTGAGATGTTTAAAAAATTATTTCATTGTATTAATATGCAATAATTGAAACTTAAAATTTATCCAATTTGAGTCAAAAAAGTCATATTTGACAAATACACTATAACTATAACGAAAGTAGTATTAATATACAAAATTACAAATTAATTATGAATAAATATGAACAAGAAATTGACAGAGAGAGTAATCTATGAAGGATTGAATGAAGTTCTAATCTAGCTAGAAAAACCGAATATGATGTTTGGAGTTTATGGACTGAAATCTAAAATACTCCGTATTACTTTCAGTCTCGAAATGATTTACCTTTTTATTATTACGTCATCTCAACAATTTTTATTTGTTTACATTTTTCATTTATTATTTCATAAAATAAAATATTCTTGTCACCTCTTTTTTTATACCACCGCTGCTAAAAATAATTATATTTTCTTTCTTCTTAGGCCCAAAATCCCTTTTTCTTTTTTATTAAAAAATTACTTTTACCTCAATTAATTCTTATTTTACCTCTCGCATCATATATATTTTCTAATATTCTACTCATTATGGAGTAGTTTTTAAAAATTGAGGGCCATCTATGAAATATCTAAGAATTAGAGATTAAATATGGAAACCGTTTGTAATTCAGGAACATTTGTGAAATTTATTCTTTTTATTTTTATAATAATTTGTAAATGAAATTATTTTAAAAATTACAGAATTTAAATGTCCTTAGAATATGGAATATGATTAGGGAGCATATATAAAGTTTGAAAATTGAAATGGAAAAAACTAAAATGAGATAATTAGAAAAGTGAAGTTAAAAAGTTTCAAACAACATAATGCCTGATAGGTGAGATGAGAGTCTCCAAACAACATAGTACTCCATCAGTCTTGAGAGTTGACCATGGGCCTGGCGCTCCTATCGTGATGATTTCCTATGCTAAACGGCACTTACATTTTTGACGTTTTTTTGGATTTCAACGTATCTTGGAATTTTAATGCGAGCAAAGGTAATCATTCATCCATTCATTCTTACAAAAAAAATGACACCTATCCTTTTTGGTACTCCCTCCGTCCCATTATATTTGTCCACTTTTATTTTTACACACCATCCAATGCACTTCTTTAATTCATTTTATCTTGTAACTTGTATATTAAAAAATTATAGAAATTGTATATTAATAATCTACATCTTAAGACAAATCAAACAAGATCACACATGACTATATTTAGGCTTACACATTGAGAGAATTTGATGAGTCAAAGTGATTAGATGAACAGTTCCAAAAGTCAAAAGTTGACGAATATAGCGGGACGGAGGTAGTATTAATTTTGTGGTCCAATAGCACCATAGTGGCTCTTTTAAATAGGAAGTCACGTGTTAGATCCCTAGTGAGATTGATAACTATTCTCTAAGTTTTAATTGGTTATCACAGCATAACAAAGTTATTATTTTAAAAAATATTAGATTTTTTATTATTCTTAAATTAAATTTTAAAGATTCTTTAAAGTGTATATGAATTTAGATACATAGATAGGGGATTATAGTATATTGTACGGAGTATTAATCAGGATTTATGTTGATTTTAAAAGCCGGTAGTTCGTTCCAATAGTTATTATTCATTTTAAAAGGGACTACAGTTAGAACATTCTTCAACAAAATACAACGATGATCAATTGATGATAATAAAAACTCCAAATTTTTGAACAAGGCCGGCACGGGGGGCTTCAAAGCCCTTTTGTCTCGTACTCATTTTTTGGAATCTAAATTTTTCAAAATTTATATACATTCTCTTCGTCTCAGAATATTTATCTAATTTTATTTTTTGATAAATTCAGATCAATCTCTAAGTTATAGTTAAATAAAAATTACATTCTATGATAATTAGATGAAAACTAATTTTAATATATTTTAAAAACTAAATCTAATAAAATTATTCTTATAACAATATTTATTATAAATTTTATTTAATTAAAGATCAAAATTTACCAATTTTTACTATAAAAAGTTAAAACTGGACAAATTATATATCTATATATACATACATACACACACACACAGATATGTGTGTGTGTGTGTGTGTGTGTGTGTGTGTGTGTGTGTGTATGTTTGTAGGTATGTATCCAGCTCATCCCAAAAAACTTCTCACTTCACAAACGTAACTTTCCATTCGGTGATGACGGATATTTTACTAGGGTCCACTTTTATACCTTCTGTCAAAATCACATGACCCAAAAATGTGACTTCGTTGAGTCGGATTTCACACTTTGACAACTTTGTGTAAAGTTCGTGTTCTCGTGTACAGGGAGTACTACTTACAGATGTTTCGCATGATCTACTCGATCATTGGAGTATGCTAGAATATCGTTGATGAATATGACTACGAATTGATCCAAATATGGTCGAAATACGCTATTGATGAGATCCATGAATACTGGAGGCGCGTTCTTCAATCCAAATGGCATTACCTTGAACTCGTAGTGCCCATACCGAGTACGGAATGCAGTTTTCGGGATGTCTTCCTTTTTGACATGTGTTTGGTGATATCATGATCGAAAGTCAATTTTGGAAAACACAATTTCCCCTCCCAGTTGGTCGAACAGATCGTTAATTCGTGGTAAAGGATAACAATTCTTGATCGTCACCTTATTCAAATGTCGGTAATCGATGCAGAGTCTCATCGAATCGTCTTTAATTCATACACACTCTAACTTTCTTTTTGTAATTTTGTGGCGAAACTTTCGGTGATGATTACTCCCAACTTCGGCGACCTCTCACCAAATTAACAGCACCACTGCGTTCTCCTCACTCAGAGCAACAGAATAGAAGGAACAATGGGACGATTTTGGGAAGGAGTGATGGAGATTGAGTTGGCTTATATAGAGAGAGTAGGGAAGAAGTCATAGGAGGTCCTGTGCGATGATGACCGATTGGCGTAGTGCACCCAGCGACAATTTTGGTTAAAATTTTTACGCTGTTCCCTGATTGGGACTAATTTGGTCCAAGGTACACATTTTGGTCCAGCTTTCTCCAAATTAAGATCTTATTGAACCATTATGGTTAGACAGTCAAACTCTACACAATGATATAATTTTCATTATTTATTGGAAAACTTTATAAATCACTTATTTTTGGGTCCTTCTCAGTAATTAATTAATTATTAAGTAAATAATTAATTAATTCTGATAAGCCTATTTTTGGGGCGTTACACACATGGCCTTTGTTTCACAAATTGAACCAACAACTATTCTGGAAGCGACTAATGATTAGCATTAGACCTTGGCCATGCAAGAAGAGCTTAACTAATTCAAATATAATGACATGTGGAAATTAGTGTCAAGACCCAATGAACATAAAACAATAAGTACGAAATGGGTGTTTCGTAACAAATTGATGAAAATGGAATAATCACTAAAATCAAAGCTAGGCTTGTAGTTAAAGGCTACAATCAAGAAAAAGACATTGATTTTGAAGAAACCTATCCACCGTTATTATGTTTAGAAGTTATTCATTTATTACTTATTTTTGCCTCGTCTATAGATTTTAAACTTTACTAAATGGATATGTTAAGAGTGCCTTCCTCAATGGTTTTATTCAAGAGGAAGTGTATGTTGACCAAACCCTAAGGATTTTGAAGATTTTGAGTTCCCGAATTGTTGGAATACACATCCATATTGATAAATCACCGTTAAATATGGAACAAAGAATGAACATTCTAAGTCAATGGAAAGTCTTATGCAAAGGATACAAAAGTACAAGAAATGACGTTGAAAAAATAAATCCAAGACGAGAGACTTACAATTATTCATTGTATTAAGTTCACATTTTATTCTTCTAAGTCTTGGCTCAAACAAAATATTTTTTTC